TGCCCCCAACAATCTGGGTCCTCATTTTACCCACCTCGGAAGGATGGAAGGCTGAGTCAACCCTGAGCCGGTGAGATTTGAACCGCTGAACTGCTAATCTAGCAGTAGCCTGCAGTGCTGCATTTAACCACTGCGCCACCTTGGCTCAAATAAAATAGGCTCAAGTTAAAGGCCAATGATTTTAGTATACAGAAAGTTTGTTTCACAAGAGAAGAACATGCAATTGTATAGAGCCCTATTTCTCTCACAACATAAGAAAGCTTTGTATTTATTGTGATGTTTTCTATGCCCAAAATATTTTGCTTACTGGAAAAAAAGTTTGCAATTGCTTAAGCTGAAAATATGTTTTTTGTAAAAGACAGAAAGGAGTAGCTAACCCAATACAATGCCACAAATACATAATGCTAGACATACAGTGATAAAGAAGTGTTTGGTTTTACTAGAATAAGTACAACAAACAAATTTAATACATTCTTTTATATTTATTCAAAATTTTACTAGCCAGACTAGGCCATTGGAACACTAGCTTATATAACTAAAACATAATCATTACTGTGCCTATATTGTGAATAGTAATATAACTATTATTATTAGTAAAGGACATGGAGTAAATCTAAGGTGTTCAATGGATATTAAGAAATGTTCTAGATCATGAAAAAATGGCATTTTTAGCCAAACAATAGGCAAGTGTGAAATAATACATTGACACCTGCAGGAAATCCCAACAGCCAATACAAATATTAAATGAAAGTTCATTTTAATTGATATTCTATAGTTGGTTGCGAATGCCTGACTCTATAATTATAATCTGGAGGACTTGCCATCAATACTATGTTTCCCCCAAAATAAGACAGGTTCTTATTTTCTTTTGACCCTCAAAATAAGCACTTGGCCTTATTTTCATGGTGGTCTTATTATTTTTGGGAAAACAGGGTAGCTCTTAAAATTGCTTTGCAATCAAGATGACTGTGGACTGTCCCCACTTGTGAAGCCTAGTTGGAGATTTTGGATGGTGCTGCACCCCATTCCTTAACGTAGTATGCTAGAGGGCCACACGCCAACGCAAAATGTAGTTGCCTCATCTTTATACTGTTCTTTAATTCACTTAAGTTCCACAAAAAGAATCAACGGGGGGATGACGGGTGGGGGGGAACAGTGGCAGAGCATATCACGTGCAGAAAGTCACAGGTGACCTCTTTGATAGGACTCAGAATCTGACTATAAATTTAGTGGATACCTGCCAATAAAATACCTGTTTAAAATACTGGAATCAATGGATCAGTGGTATGACTCAGAATATGTCTTACTGTATTTTATAGGTTAGCTATCACAGGATAAAGTCGTATGTTCTACTTTGGCAGAGATATGCTATTTAATAATACTGCAATAGTGTATGCTATGTGCTAGTCCAATATTAAAGTTGACTAATAAGTTATTAGTAAATTTATAACTTTAATAGATAAAGTAGTTTTGTCTATGGAGATTCTCAGTCATCCAGGTCATGGTTGTCCCAAAGGTGCTTTTTCAAAAGGTAACTGGACTTTCTGGTTTTTCTTTGAAGACATTTTGCTTCTCATCCAAGAGGTGTCTTGTTAAGGCCATCTGGAAGTTTATGTGTGTCATCAGGGTCACCTGAGTGGTATAAATGGGTGTGCAGCCTTCTTGAAACTGTTGAAAGGACAGTGTTGTATGTTGGAGATGGATGATGTTGTATCCCTCCTGCTCTGTTGAGAGAGGGCTGTTCAGTTTTGACATAGATGGCCTCTTTAACCCCTCCTTCAAACTAGCGGCTCTCTCTGTCCAAATGTGGACATTGCTGTTTTCAAGAGTTGCCTTTGTCTTTTAAATGTAGATGGACTGCTAAATTTTATCCTGATAGGTTTGTTTTCCTATGTTGTGCCATGTGTTTATATAGTGGTTTTTGGCTCACTGAGTTGTACTGCATATATCACGTTGCTCAATTTGTTTCTGGGTATTTTATCCTCCTTGGGTGGACAAGTTTCTGCCTTAGTGTATTCTTCATTTTGAAGTGTACATGTATGTTGTGTTGGTTGAAAATCCTCCAGAGATTTTCTGATATTCCTGTAAAGCATGGGATGTTGTCTGCAAGACTTTAAATCATTCCATTCCCCATCATCCAGTCAGAGCTGAAGAAGCTTCTTGGATGAGAAGCAAAACTTCTTCAAAGAAAAAACAGAAAATCCAGTTGCCTCCTGAAAAAGCAACTTTGGAATAAAGTACTGTTTATCTATATTATATTATATTTCTTCTTCTTCTTTTTTCTTCTTTTTTCTCCTCTTAAGGAATATTTTATATAATTTTGTTATTTTGGTGTATCTTGGTATTTTGCTTATATTTTGTTTTCTAAAATAAATCTTTATTTTTAAAAATATAATACAAGTAGATACAAGTATAGAACTGTCAAAAAGTAAACAAATGCTACTTAAATAAGGTTTCCTTTGCCAAGTTAAATCCTGGCTTAACATTTTATATCTGCTTATGTCATTCCAGGGTATTTCAAGTTGCCTGAGAAACTGTTCTTAAAAATGTAAATAATGGCTAAGATATTTAGGCAAGAATAAAAAACAGATCTTTGTTACCTTGATGAATATGATTTCACTTGTAAAAATATCAAAGTTTTCTTTCAATAGAAATTTAATGAAATTGGCTAATATTTTGCACACTACCTTGATACAGATCAAAATTAGAGTGATTTCCATAACACTGCATTTGAAATGCAGATCTAAGCAAAATGGAAGTCAACATTTAGTATGTTGGACTAAAAACCCTATACAGTAGCCCTTGACTTACAACAGTTTGTTTAGTGACTGTTCAAAATTATAATGGCATTTTTACAACCTTTGCAGCATCTCCAGCATCTTGTGATCAAAATTCAGATGTTGAGCAACTGGTTCATATTTATGACAGTTGCTGTGTTCCAGGGTTCTGTGACCAACCTTTGTGACCGTCTGTCAAGCAAAGTCAATGGGGAAGCCAGATTTACTTAACAACCAAGTTGCTAACTTGTCAACTGCAGTGATTCACTTAACAATTGTGTCAGAAAGGTCATAAAAT